TATATATATATAAGTAAAGCGAGGAGAGAACGAAGATACTAAAAACTGATAAAAGTTGTGATCGCCTTATTACGATAATTTTTTCTTTCTGGATTAATTCCGTCAAATCATGGGTTGTAAATACTTTTCCTTCATCAGCATTCATATGTGTATCAATATCACCGTCAACCCAGTATTTATACATTAATAATAAAAAAAGAGTATAAAAATACTTCAAATTATTATGATGTAAATGCATTAAAATTACTTGCTAGTGAAAATAAAAAGAAAAATAGCTGTCGTCATAGCAGCGCTTGCGCACTGTTTACTCGTTTAAAATAAACGAGTAAAAATAACTGAACTTGAGTGAAATTTCACTCTTTCATAAGGAGCTTTCTCATCTTGAGTGAAATTCACTCAAGTCAAAGAGTGAACTGAAATCTCTCAAATTTAAGTGAATAATTTTCAATCGAACTTGAGTGAAATTCACTCGTGTTGGATTGACTATCAGTATTACTTGAATGGATCGTTTTCAGTCAAACTTGAGTGATTTTCAATCCTTTTTTAATTGAATTTGAGTGAATTTAAATCATTTTTCATTCATAATTAGCATTATTTAAGTGCATATATTTTAATCATTCTAGAGTTATTTTCTATCATTATTTATTATCTTTACATGAACGACATTTAAATCACATTTGAATTAAGTTAATCATTTTCCGACTAATTACAGAATCTTTCAATGCCTATCATAAATAAGATGAAACAAAAATCATATTTAGCATGTGTAACATAAATAAATTATTGGTTATAAGTCTTTTTTTTTAAATTTTGAAACTAAACTGTGATAGTTGAGAAAAAAAGTGAAAGCTTAGTAATTCATCTGTATTTAACAATATGCTGAATGTAATTGCAAGATAATACTCTTTAGTTCGAAAGCTTTGAGACAGACTTAAGTGCAAAATTTTAAGGATTTTTAATTTTTTATAATGAAGCAAATTTTTTATTTTTTTGCGAACAGTTTACATAATTTTTCCTTTTACAGAGGTATTCAGATAGTTATTAAAAAGACGTACTTAACCATTTCCATCTTACTTCATTGGAACATAACTTTGATAATTCTTCTACATTCGATTTTGTTTGCAGGTAAACCTTTCTATAATACTTTATTTATGAAAGATTTGCTAAAATATACTTCTAAAATTTTTTTAGATATTGCTTAAATGCAGGACCATAATGTCTTTTTAACAGAGTACCCACTCAATTTCCGAAAAAAATGCCCTTGCATTTCCGGGTAAATTACAATTAAAATCAAGACCATATTTTATCTATATCATTCAATTTTTCATCAGAAATTTTTGTTTCTTTTATTTGTAATGCCAAGTATTAGATTTTCTGTGTTAAAGAATACATCACTAAATGGAAACATCTCAGTTTAACTAAATTGTAAAATTTTTGCAACAAATAATTGTAATAGAATTGAATATAATTTAATTGTAATTGAATAATTGTAATAGAATTTAGAATTGTTCAACTCGAATCTCAATAACTAATTACTGTCATGGACAATTTTAAGACTGGTTGTTTTCTAGGTATAAAATAGAAATTCTTCAGATTTTTGTAAAAAAAACTGCAAATTGCCCAAACTTATTCCCTGATTTTTGGAGTTAAAATAAAATTCTCTGACAATTTCAGGTTTTCCCTCTGTCTCGTGGTAATCCTGTTTTACTTGTTCATTTGTTTAATTGTAATATGCAAATGAACTGAACGCAATTTAACTGTAATTTAAGAACATAATTAAGGCATCTTTGATAATTTTAAC